ATTCTGGTTGCATTTGAAGAGAATGTCCGGGTTGTTAGCTGGTGTTGGTGCAACTCGAAAGTGAGAGAATCGGCCCTAACAACCGAGACATAGTTAAACCTGCCCAAAGCGGCTGTCCCAAAGCCGGACCTCACGTGAAACAACCAAGCCCTAAGTCCCGCGCGCCTCCTCGAGACGGAGTCTGGAATAAGTCTTGCTTCTCCCATATCCCTTCTGTCCCTGTCCTCGGGGAAGATTTGGCATCCTGTAAAGGGCTTTGGTCCCGTTGTCCAAGCTCAGTGAGACAGCCCAGGACGGAACTGTCTATTCCGCACGCTGGGGGCGCATCTTTTAAGTGGGTATCAAAAGCTGAGAGTAAACAGAGTAGACTTGTTTAGTTTGAGAGCTATTGCTCGCTGTGATTTTTTAGTCAATCCTAGGATCCTCAAAGGAGTTCATGCAACGGAGACCATTTCTAAAAACATAAAGCGCTGTGTGAATGGAAAGTGTGCCATTAATACAATTCTCTCCCCCCGAGACCCTAAGATCCATCGAGGAACAGCCGGCGAAGAGTCCACATGCTCAGGATAGTGGTGTGTGTGCCTCTGTGTGTATGTGTGAGCCTCTGTGTGTGTGCGCCTGTGTGTGTGCACCTGTGTGTATACACATGCCTGTGTGTGTGCATGTGTGTGTGTGAGCCTCTGTGTGTGTGTGCACCTGTGTGTACGCACACCTACATGTGCACGTGCCTGTGTGTGTGAGCCTGTGTGCACACACCTGTGTGTGTGCATGTGCCTATATGTGTGTGCACCTGTGTGTGTCACCTGTGTGTGTGCCTATGTGTGTACATGCACCTGTGTGTGTGCACGTGTGCTTATGTGTTTGCCTGTGTGTGCACACACCTGTGTGTGTGCACCTGTGTGTATACACACGCCTGTGTGTGTGCATGCACCTGTATGTGTGCGGGCACCGTGCACATATATGTGCAGTCATGTGTGTACGTGTGACACGTGCTGGAGGCAGGAGGGTGACAGATAGTAAAGAACGCTGCTCACTGGACTGGCATGGTGGGAGGTCAGTCTGAGGACCTGGGTTCAGATCCCAGCCCCAGCACTTCCTAACTGAAGGACCCCACGTGTCCTCACAAGTGGCAAGGCCAGGTGAGCTTCGCCTGGATACAGGAAGGGGAGGTGGGCTCACGTGGGATGTTTCGTGCCGTGCTGAGCACGGGGTTTCTGCCTCACGGGGCTCCTGCCCCACAGGGCTGCTGCATCGTGACTGCCCCAGCGCCACAGCCAGGGTGCAGGTGGAGGCTGCAGGGAACCTGATCTCCACCTGCCGCACCTCAACCATCCCCTCAGGAAGTTACCCTTTCTCAGTGGCGTGCTCCAGGGCCGGGAGGAGGCCTCCAGCCACACCTGTCCGTGTCACGGAGCTAAAGGGGTGTGGCCAGCACCAGGGCACCACAGTCTTGCCAGGGAGCCCAAGGGGTGCTCAGCGCGAGGGGAGCAGGGAGGCCACGCGCCGTGAGTAAAGGCAGGGGCCAACCTCCGGTCCCCAGGCCTGTCCCAGAGCCTGGCTTCTCACATACTCATTCCCCCCGCACCCGAGTTACACCCTGGGGACTCCATGCTGCCGGCTGCAGTCTGAAGACCCGGAAGCCCAAGCTCGTCCTTGGAACGGGCCGGGCCTGGAAAACACCCCGGTCCCTTCATCAAACGAGCTCATCAGGGCCACGTTGCTTCCCATCACGTGGTCAGATGTTTGTCCTCTGCCCAGACGGCTGAAGCAAAAGGCCCTAAACCATTCTTAAAGATCTGTAACTGCCTGGAGTCTGAGGTGCAGTGTTGGTTTAGGGGTACAGGGCGTCCAGTGGCTGCCTGACGGGCCTCAGTGCTCTCCTCTGCGAAGGTTAAATCCACGAGTTCTCATTAGCATTTCCCCAGACCTCCCGGAGAGACAGGAGCCAAAGCGATGCAGACTGACATTATTTGGGTTTAGAGATGTAGCCAGCTGTTTTATCATTGTGTCAAGTTATAATTAGTGGAGTAGAGTCTGTGGGAAATGACTTGCGCGTTTTGAAAGTTTCGCGTGGCAGCGTGTCGCCCGCCGCGGCCCACACGAGGCTGCGGTTTGTTGGGAGCCCCGCCCCCACGGAGCAGCCTCTCTCTACATAAAGCTTTTAGCCCAGAGACACCTGTCCCTTCTCATCCCTTCTCCCGCAGCCCGGAGCGATGGCAGAACCAATACCATCATCTCGACGGGGAAACGACTTGCGCGGGGTAATTGCAGCGTCATGCGGTGTCCTAGTTTTGCTAAATTGTTCAGTCTTGCCAGTGGCTGGAGAACCGGCTGGAGAACCGGCTGGAGAGCCACGTGCCCTCAGTGCGGCCCTGGGTGCCGCCGTGGGTGCTGCCCGGGCATGGGAGGACACTCCGCTCGTTCGGGTGGGCGAGAGGCCACGCCATCCCTGGCCACAGACACAGGCGGGCTCAGCCTGGCGTCCTGTGTCCTCGGCTGTCTTGCCAGATCCACTTGGCGCCGAACACGTCGTAGCACATTCTGGCGCTTGGCTTCACGCCAGTAAAAGGGAAGATTCAGGAGAACACTCGAACACCCGGCCTTCAACAGAGCCAGGCCGGGAAACGCTCCCCCACGGTCAGACATTGGGGGCGGTTTTGCTGAGGGGGTTCTCAGCCCCAGTCCAGCACCTGGATTGTCTGGACCAGGTGCCCTGGGGCTCTGTGGGCACCTGGGTGTCGCGCACAAGGCCTGAGCGTTTTCGTGTCCGTGCACAGGTCCAGGAGGGGGCTCTGTCAAAGGGGTCTGCTTTCGTCCCCAAACGGCCGAGAAGCACCAATCAGAAACTCCGGTCCCTGTCCCTTCGCTACCAGACCAGTCGTGAGCAACATTCTCATCTCTCGTCACAATGTTCCAACGTCTCGTCACGAAGTTCTAGTTTCTAGACAGTGTGGGAAAAATTACCTCGACAGATGAACACAGCTGGCCTGACGTGAGCGCACAGGTGTCGAGGTTGTGCCTCCTTTTCTGGCAGCGAAACGCGGGCCTCTGTGGGTTGGCGCCCGTGAGCAACGCTGAGGCGCCGTCCGTCACTTCGCTGACTCACGGGGGAAGAGACGAGGGACTTCCGTTCCCTTTTTAACGCCATAGTGTTTAAAGCCTCTTTGGTTTGTTGTTTTTCGTGCAAGGAAAAAGGCCGCCGTCCCCTCTTCTCTGCTGTCTCTCTGGGAAACGAGACACATGCAGAGTCAGTGTCCCGCATCCCTATGCCCCGGGCACCTGTGTGACATCACGTCACCCTCACGGCACCCCTGAGGGCGGTGGTGTTGTGAGCCCATTGTGCAGACGAGCACACAGTGGGGACACACAGCCAGGAAGGTCAAACAGGATTTGAGCTCCAGCTTCGGAGCCTCTGCCCGATTTCTCCCCGCCCCAGAAGAGAAGTCAGCTGCCGTGGCGTCCCGTTTAGGGACGATCCCCAGCACCGTGCAGGAAGAGCAGGCCGGCAGCCGGGCTGGTTTTAAAGGGAACTTGACAAGAAAGCGGGGCAATTTCGAACTACCTTAAATTAAAATGACCGCCTGTGATCTGGGTGGGTCCAGAGGTCTCGTAACCAGGGAAACCGAGGCTGCGGAGGGGCGAGGTGGGCCTGTGGCAGGGGCGGCCTTCCTGGGGGGCCCGGTTTGGGTGGGGAGAGTGAGGATGTGAGGGCACAGTACATACTGAAGTCAGAAGTGGGGCGGCCTCGGGGGGACACCGGGGGGCCCTCGAGGAAGGAAACAGGGATCCACCCTCTGTCTCTCGCTGCTCTCTGACTTCCCACTGCCTAGAGGGTGTCACAGCCCGGGCTGGTGCCAGCAGCGAGACCCCAGGAGGGCAGCGGAGTCCGACACCCAGAAGCTCAGAGCCCACCTGTGGCTGGCACACCCAGGGCGCCCGGCCACTCGATCAGCTTCCCGGTCCGGGCAGGTCCCATTCTGTGTGGCAGTAAACGGGAGGGCAGGGGAGGGGGCGTGCCACCATGGCCGGGAGTGCGCTCCCCAGACACCTGCTGCGTGGACTCCATCTCGTCCACTCCTGCACGGCGTTAACAAGCTCTTCCCTAAAAGGAGAGTCGTGATACAGGCAAAGGAGAGTTCCTGTCCCACAGAGCTGTCAGGGTCGGAGGCGGGATGCTTGAGGACCAGCCAGCCTGCTGCCGCCCCCCAGACTCCCAGGACGGACGGGCTTTCCACTGCTCAGCAGGGCGCCGCCGCCCCCACGTCCCCTGAGGACACTAGTGACGGCCCATGGCCCGTTCACTGGGACGTGCCCCGCAGCGGGTGCTCAGTGGGCCTGTGACGGAGCCCTGGGCAGCCCGCGTGGCTATGGCCACTGGGCCTGCTTGGGAGGTATGCTGTCGGGGTGTCTGGACCTCACCCTTCTAAGCGGCCTTGGCTGAGGGGTCACAACAGAGCTGGGGCTCAGTCTGGGGCCAGAACTGGCACCCCACAATGGAGTTCTTGTCTTTTCCTGCTGCGTGGGGACAGACAGGTCCGCTAGCCACACAGCTCAGAGAGAGGGGGTAAAGTCACACAAAATCACAAACGTGACACTAAGGCACAAAAACAGGGACTTCTTTCAAGAGGACGCCCATGGCTGCTACTGTAGGGCCCAGATCTATCTCGTCTCGGCCCATGAAATGAGACGTGTTCATTCCATCATTCTCTCTCTGAGGTGGCTCTCCAGTCCCTGCCTGGTCACCGGCGTGCTCACCAGCATAGCCTGTCCCAGCAGCGTGCTTAAGCCCTGGTGTGGGGTGGGGGGACAGTTGGCCCTTTACCCCCAGGGGCAGGCGAGCCGTAGGCCTCTCTCCGAACGGCCCCCTTGCCTTTAGAGCCTCAGAACACGAGTTAGCTGGCGTAGGAGTTCAGGGAGCTGGCGCTGGGAGCCCCGGGGGCCCCGAGCCTGGCTGGCAGGTCCTTTCTGGCCGCTGAGGGCTCACGGTGTTTGTTTTTCAGGAACCTGGGTAAGTCGGGCCTGCGCGTCTCCTGTCTGGGGCTCGGTGAGTATGGGGGCCCTTGGTCCAAGGCCACCAAGGAAGCAAGGGCTGTGGGAGGGCTGGGCAGGGCGGAAAGGGGTCACCTCCGGCAGCGTGGGGAGGCCACACCCAGAGCCAGGAAGGTGGGGGCTCTATTGCCATGGCGCAAGGAGGCAGTGCGGGGGGTGGGTACCCAGGAGCAGGAGGGGGACAGCAATACAGCCTTTTCCTTCTTAAGATGTGAGCTCCATTCCCAGACCACACAATACCCGCCCCCGACACACACACTGTCCAGCGAGGCCGAGGCCGCGGACTTTGCCCCTCATCCTGCTCCCTGCAGCTTGTCCTGCAGCTGGCCGCCTGCTCTGGACATTTACTGTCCCTTCTGTTTTGTGGCCCCAAGACAGGGAGACGTGAAGGCCAGGTACTAACACATGCCCAAGACATGCCCGCTGTAGAGCAGAGCCCTGTGACGCCTGTGGCTGTCCCCTGGGCCCTGCAGTCTGTGGTCTCGGCACCGGGGAGGGGAGAAGCCAGCTTCCTGTGGAGCTTCTCTGACTTGGGCCTGTGTGTCTCCTTCCAGGAACATGGGTGACCTTCGGAGGCCAGATCACCGACGAGGTAAGACGAGGCTCCCTCGTTCCCCCAGGCCCAGTGAGGGCGGCCCACGCGGGGCGCGTGGGACACACCAGAGAGTCTGTGCTCCCCGCTTTCCTCTTCGTGTTTCCCCGGGGTGCCCTGGCTCATGGGGCAGCAGGAAGAGGGAGCCGCGGCAGTGGCTCGGGGCTTCAGCAAGTCCCCTAAGGTCCCAGAGACTCAGATTCCTCGTCTGCAGGGCACCAGGATTCAGGGAGCTCCGGTTTTCCCAATCATAAAGCCCGATGCCACTCCGAGCTGCTCGCACAGAGTCTGCCTGCCCACGCGAACTCGCAGCTTCGGCGACATTCTGCCGAGGTCACGGAGAACGCAGATTCTGCAGCCGTTGCTGCAGGCGGAGGCCGAGCAGGTTTACGCTTCCCTCCTGCTGTGCAGCTCCCATGGCTGTCGGTGGCCGTGTGCGCTGCAGTCAGACCTACTTGCTGGGGCTTCTCGCTTCACGACTGGGCTGCGTCTCTGGGTCTGTCCTGGAGGGGACGGTGTGTTCCCAGGCTGCTGTGCACTCGGGGGCAGTGAGTGGACAGCTGGGAAGCGAGGACGGTGGCATTCGCTCAGAGAGCTCTGGACATGGGCACAAGAAGCCGTCTTCACATTTGCCCTACTTACTGTTGTGTTTAAAAATTAATGCGTGAGTTCATTTGAGACCCTGTTAGCTGTGATTGCTCAGATCGTTTTCAAAGGGAAATGCATCTAATTTGTGTTTTCGTTCCTTCGTCTGCTATGACAGCCTGGGTTCGAGAACTCTTCGCCTTTGCTTTGAGGGTCTGGGTCTGGTCTGTCTCAGGGTGAAGGTGGCAGTTTTTAAGGTACAGGGAACTGTTTTGCCTTCGGCCACCAGGCCGGGTCTGAGCACAGAGACTGGGACGCAGCCCCGGAGCCCACGTGGTTCACCCGACTGGCCCTTTTCCCTTTCCACGTGGTCACCAAATTCATGGGAAGAATCATGGGAGGGCGCGACTCCATTTCCACGCGGCGTGTGGCCTCCTTGTGGAACAGACAGAAGTGGCGGGCGGTGACCATGCAGCTGGGTGACGTTTTCACCAGCAGATCATCGCACCCAGACAGTATCGATTAGTGATCCGCGGCAGCCCCGGCTGGCTCTGCTATGACTCATAGACATGCCCAGTGACATGTGCGAAGATCCTGGAAGTCACTTCCAGATGACGCGCAGCTGGGAGGACAGCGGAGGCGATAGGTGGCAGACTCGGGACTCTGCAAGGTCCTGGCAGGCGAAAGCGATAGGGCGAAGGAGCCGGCAGCGTTTCCGTGGGAACCTTACAGCTAGTGTCCAAGACAGTCGATACATCGGCGTGAGGGGCACATCCCGCCACGCTGGGGTGAGGAGTTGTCGGGGATTTAGTCCTCGGCTGGCTGGCAGCCTGGCTGGGTCTGAGCCAGCGTGGAGCCGCAAGGACACGAGGACCGTGCTGGCCGCAGAGGAGCACGAGTGCTGCCCAAACGCCGGGGGCCACCGCCCCGCCGGGCGTGAGGATGGGCGACCCCATCCGGAACTCCGTGCTCCTTGAGGAGGTCACACATGCCCAGAGGTCCGGAAGCAGAGTCCGGTTCTCAGAGCGGCCCTCTCGCGTGCCAGACGCTGTGCCCCAGTGTGAGGGCGATGAACGAGAACCAGTGGCCGTGCCGCAGCCGGCGGCGGTCCCCGGCAGGACCGCGCATCGGCCGGGACAGACGGCCAGCGGGCCGGATCCGGCCCCCGCCTGCGGTTTCTTCCATTTTAGTCTTTTTCATTAAACATATGAAACGTAAAATGTGCCATTTTAACCATTTTATTATGGTTAAAATAAGCATAACATAAAATCGACCGTGTTAACCATTTTTAGGCGTACAGTTCAGCGGTCTAAGTACGTTCGCTTTGCTATGCGACCGTCACCACTGTCCATCTCCAGAATTTTTCATCGCCCCAGACGGAAAGTCTGTACCCATTAAGCAATAACATCCCAGCCCCTGGCAACTTCTAATCTGTTCTCTGTCTCTGTGAATTTCAGAGCCCATTTTGTAAATGAACCTTGGCTGTCAAGCAGCCATATCCATTTGCCTACGTATTGTCTGCGGCTGCTTTAACCATACAAGGCAGAGTCGAGTACCTGCCACAGAGACCATCTGGCCCACAAAGCCTAAAATATTTACCGTCTGGCCCTGTACAGAAAAGCTTTGCCGTCCCCTGGCCTGTGGGGTCACAGCAGCTGCCCGCTGTGGGGCCATCGTCCCCGGCAGGAGGGCCCCCGTGGGCCAGGCAAAGAGGCGCCAGCCACAGGGGAAGCAGACGGTGAGCTAACGCTCCGATCACATGGCCAGGTCTCGGCACTGCCCTGGTCAGTCAGGTTTCCGACCTCAGGTCCAGCGCCCCTTCCGTGACCTCACCCAAGGCTCCGGCGGAAACTCCCGTCAGAAGGCAGAGCACAGTGGCCAAGAACCTGACATTCATTTTCGCAGTCAGCCGCCTATCGACCCCGGGAGGCAGGCACCCTCATTCCGCCTCGAGGAAGCAGAACCTCAGAGACTGAGCAGGTGCCCAGGTCGCCCCTCCTGGGCCCTGGCCTCCAGCTGTCAGCTCTCGGGTAACCATCCTGGGGCAGGATGGGTTCCCTGACCCCCGAGCGGCAGTGACAGGGAGGTAGCCCACGTGTCTCCTGAGGGTCCCTCTGCCCGCTGTTTCTGGGACTCTGACATTGGAAGTAATGGAAAGGTCGCAAAACAGAGGCTGTTCCTTGAGGGGGGCTGTACCCACGGAGTGGGCGTGGGAAGGCCCCTGAGAGCTCGTGGAAAGCGACGGTCTGTACGTGAGACTTGCAGTTTTGTTGGGAAAAAAGCATATATTCACATAGAAAACTCTGGAAGGAGAATCATAGCAGTTAAAAGCATAAGAAAGCGCGGCTGTCAGAGTTCCCCGGTCCCCCCGTGCTTTCTGTCGCCATCTGGGCGGCCGTCCTGGGTGTAATTACGATCGTGTTCGTGTCATTCTCGTGCAGGGACAGGTGAAACGAGCATGTCAGCGTGCTCGGCCAGCCTCCGGGGTCTGCCAGTGGCCGCAGAGGCCTGGCTTCTGCAGACTCTCCTGCTTCCTCCTCTGCTGGGGAAGTCAGCTGTGTTCATGGTGATCGCTCTGGACCGTGAGGCCTTGCGAACGGGGGAGGGGTCCTTCTGGGACGGCAGTGAGTGAAATGTGACCAGAGGCAGTGAGGAGGTGGCCCGGGCAGCAGATCCGGAAGCCACCAGAGCCAGCTGGAGGGCGGTCTCCACTCATTCATGCCTGCCGAGCACCTGCCGAGGCCGGTCCCGGTCTCCGCCTGCAGGCTGAGCTCTTTCTGGCGAGAGGGGCAGGCAGCAAACGCCTCTTATCCCTGGGGGTTAAACGCACTGTGGAGGGTGCTTCGTTTCCTGAGGCTGCCGTGACAAATCGCCACCAACCACGCGGCTTAGAACAACAGGAATCTCTCCTCTCACAGTCTGGAGCCCAGACGTCCAAAATCAGAGTCACTAGGCTGAAATCGGGCTGAGCAGAGCCAAGCTCACAGCGGACGCTCCGGGGGAGGACCCTCTCGCCTCTTCCAGCAGTCCTGGGGACCCACATCACTCCAGCCTCCCGTCTTCCTCTGTGTCAAATCTCTCTCCACCTCCCTCCTATAAGGACCCTCGTGATGATGGCATTTAGACCCACTTAGATGATCTTTGATAATCTCCCTATCTCGAGACCCCCTAATTTAATCAGATCTGCGAAGACCCTTTTCCTACCCCAGGTAGCATTCACGGTCCAGGTTCTGGGGTCCTGACATCTTCGGGGGGCCACTGTTTAGTCAGACACAGAGAAAGGAGGAGAGGGGTGCGGGCTCCTGGTTGGAACAAGACCGTCGGGAAAGGCAGACGCGAAAGAGGGAGAGACGGCGCCTCCGGCCCAGGGGACGGGAGTTCGGTGGCCTCAGGAGGCGGGGGTGGGAGAGGGCTGTCAGGAGATGGGGTCAGAGGCGAGGGAGCGAATCTGATGGGCTTTGGCCTTGACCATCCACGGCATGAAAGCCACTGGAGGGTTTTAGCAAAGAAGAAATTTAACCATAAAAAGCTCGCTCTGGCTGCTGCGCTGCGGATGACGAGTCGGGGGGCTGCTTCTCAAACTGCAGCGCCCCTGGGGATGTGCTCGAAGTGCAGACTCCGACGTGGAGGGTCTGCGTTTCGATGCTGCTGCTGCTGGTCCTTGGACCCCACGTGCCAGGAGTGGGGGCAGGGACAGAGGCAAAGAGAGTTGAGGGTCTACTCCAAAAGCCCAGCTGAGGGGTGCTCCAGCTTGGACCAGGTGGGCGCAGGGGAGGTGGCAGGACCTGTCAGACTCCGGATCAGGTTGCAAGCGGAAGTCGGCAGATTGGCCGAAGGTCTCAATGCCGGAGAGAAGGCTGAGCGGAGGAGGACGCCCAGGCGTGTGACCGGAGCACAGGGCGGGCAAGACCGTGCGTGCAGCGGGGGCCCGGCAGGCCGCCCTCGTCGGCACAGCCCCAGCCCTCCGCCCGCAGTGCCGCCTCCGCCACCCGCTGTCCTCCTGCCTGCCTGACGAACTCCTAACCGCCTGTCAAAAGCCAGCCCTGTGAGTCCTGCCGCAGCCACCAGCTGGATGAGCCCTGAGGGCATCACGCTAAGCGAAAGAAGCCAGGCCCAGAGGGACGGATACCGTGTGATCCCACTCGGAGCCACCGAGAACAGCCAGAGCCCTGGACACTAAGGAGCGGCGTGGGTGCCGGGGGCTGGCGGGCGGAGGTGCCGAGTGCGTGCGTGGTGGGCCGGGCTTTCCGTTCGGGAAGATGAAAACGTTCCGGAGCTGATGGTGTGGATGGTTGCACAGCAGTGCACATCGACTCACTGCCACCGAACTGCACACTTAAAAATGGGTAAAATGATCATGTCTAAGTGTATTTCACCACCATCTAAAAATTTTTTAGTAACTTTAAAAAAAAACAAAGGAATACAGGAGCTCTCCATGACCTGCTATGGACTGATTTCCAGGACATATTATAAGTGGGAAAAAGCCAAGTGCGGGAGAAACCTGTCGCGTGCTGCCCTCCGTGTAGGAAGACACGCGTGTGCCTGAAACGTGACGACGGAAGCCCTAGCCCTGAGTAGCCTCCGCTCAGAACGCTCCCCAGGGGACAGCATGCCCCCGAAACCAGCTCTACAGCCCCGTTTGGGGCCCAACACACAGTGCCCCCTGGGCAGGGCTCGGTGGCCTGGTGCACACATCCGGGGACGGTTCAGAGGAAGATGAGGGTACCATGTAAAGGAGCCTCCGTGGGAGGAGGGGGAGATGCCTTTGATACATTGTTACACTTGAGCTACAGAGGGGGCCGACAGTCCAGAAAACCGCCCACACTGGCATCGCCACGCCCTGCGCGGTCTCACTCAGATGCCAGCAGCTGACTAACAGGGCTTAGCTACCTGCTCAGTGTCTGGAATCTTTAGGGTTCATTGCCGACATTTGAAAATCGGATTCTCCTCCACCAAAAATGTCCTGGATGTCTGGCTTATCTTGAGAAACCGAGAGATCTGGTCACACCTGGCCAGCTTCTTTCGGCAGCAAGCGAGCCCACCTCCCCACCAGCCACCAGCCCCCAGCCCCACTCTCTACACCTGCCTGGCAGGTGGGGCTAAATGTGGCATTGCAAGAAGGTTTGTGAAGCTTCCGTCCTGCGGTTTTTGAGGATTTAAGTATTGTCCACCCGCCTCCACAGGCTAGCTCGGTGTTCCGAGCTGAGCTTCGAGAAGTCAGGACTTAGGGAGTTTGCATCCGTGACACTCAGGGACACCTGCCCTGTGCAGGGTGCCCGCAGAGTCAGGGGTCCCTGCTCTGTTGCATCGTGGAGGGGACTACCAATTGCATGTTGGCTTGCCCCCCATTCCTCAGGCCTCGCCCCCACTACCAGCCAGTCGCCGTTCATCAGCCCTGGCCGGCGAGGCTTCAGAGCAACAGGGGCCCAGGCCAGAGCGCTGGCTGAGGACCGTGGTTTCTCCATCTGCGAACGGTAGCAGTAGCATCCTCATGGGGTTGCTGGAGGGTTTGGTGGGCTACACGCTCTAGCCATAGCTTTAAAATATTTATTCTGCCAAGACCGTCGCGCGGCTGTGGCGGGTCATCAGTCTCCCCGAACTGCCATTACGAAGTCCCACATGCTGAATGGCTTAAAGCAACAGAAGTTTATTCTCTCACAGTTCTGGATGCCAGGAGGCCAAAATCAGATGTCGGCTGGGCCACGCTCCCGCCGGGCTCCGAAGGAGCCAGTTCCATTTTTCTCCACCGGCTGGGTGCTGGCAGGGCTGGGCGTGCCTCAGCTTGTAGACACGTCACCCCAGTCTCTGCTCCGTCTTCGCGTGGCCTCTTCCCCGTGCGTCTGCATCTTATAAGGACACCACTCGTACTGCGTTTAGGGTCTGCCCTAACGCAGCCTGGCCTCATCTTAATTTAACTAACGGCATCTGCAAAGACCCACCTTGTCCGAATACAGCCACATTCTGAGGTTCCGGGTGGACATAAACTAAAGGGACCCTGTTCAACCTGGTTCCGACGCAAAGCTCTGTGATGACCCAATAGACGGGGTGCCCGCTCCAAAGAAACTCTCAGTCCATAGGCTGTTTCCTCGTCCAGTGTTTCTTCTTCCTTCTCGGTGGGTCCGCTCCTGAGCGCTACCTGCAGCAGGAGAGGACGAGGGTCCCCGCTGGGCACGCCGCCCCGGGGCTGCTGGGACGGTGCCGCCTGTGTGCAGCCACGGTTTTCCCATTTCAGATGGCAGAGCAGCTAATGACCTTGGCCTATGACAACGGCATCAACCTCTTCGACACCGCAGAAGTCTACGCAGCCGGCAAGTATGTGTCCTTCCTTGGGGGAAGACGCGGTGCAGGCCCCGGCTTTCCCCGGCTGCTCTCTGTCCGAGAGGGTCCACGCATGCGCCTCCCACTTTGCCAGCTTTTCTAAACTCTGACCGGTTTGGGGACGTGTTGTTCTCCTGGGGCCAGACTCTCAGAACACTTGGGCCTGGTCCCTAAACACCCCATGTGTCCACTCGCCGGGATTGACCTCAGTCCCTCTGATGCCAAAGATGCTGCGCTGGGCGAGGGCCGAGATTAAGCTGTCACCGGGGTCCCCCTGCCGCGCCCGTGACCTGCGGCCAGCCCCACGCACCTGACATTTTCACGTCTTAATGGCGCCATTAGGGCTGCAGGGATTCGGGGCCTCTGGAGCTGGGGAGAGCAGGACCTGGCAAGCTGAGCGCTGTAGGAAGCACTTTCCATCTTGGCAATGAACTTTCCTACTCAATTATGTAAAAGCCCTCTTCAGCCAAGGCTGCTGGCTTCGGTTTTAAAGACCGACTGTAATCAAATCATCCACTCTCTTGCATCAGGTTTCCAAAAGTCAGCTTTTGTTTGTGAAGTCATTTGTTGGCTCTCTTTCCTCCTCCCTCTGGCCCCTCCTGCCTGGGCTGAGCCACGTTCCCATCAGCTGGACCGGCTGCAGCCTGGCCTGCTATGCACCCTGGCCGTGGGGCCAGCACCTGCCTCCCTAAGCTCTGGGTTATCGCCTGCAGCCAGCAACGGAGCCCAAAGCACAGAACCTGGCTGGGCCTCTGCTCAAGCCTGACAGCCCTGGGGGCTTCCGCTGGGACCCCCAAACCTACTGTAATGCCTATCTGAGGGGCAGCCCTCTGCCCTTCCTGATGCCACAGCCCCTCCCAACGCCTAGGAACTGGCAGCGGCTCTCCATCAAAGGGAAATGCTTTCCAGACAGATGAGGTAGCCAAAGGGTCAGAGATGCAGAGGCCACGCCCGCAGGCACCCCCAACCCTGTTCTGAGCACCCTGGCCTGTTCGCCGGCCCTGTGCCTGCTGTGGTTTTGCTGCCCACGAGGGCGTGTGGGAGGCAGCTCTGTGCAGCCTCCTGCAGCTCCAGATGGCCCAGCCCGGCGCACAGCCTGGCACAACTCATTTCATAGTAGCCACACTATGTCACTGATTAAGGGACACCAGGCTGGCACGCTGGGTCATGTACAGTGGGTCCTGGGCAGTCTTGGGGCCTCTGGGAAGCCCCTGGCCAGAAGCTGAGGACTTGGGGAGCAGCCTCCCGTGGGTTGTTGCCCCAGAGCCCATTGCCCTCATTCTGTCCCCTGTCCTCCGAAGGCCTCTGAACCTGCCTGCTCCCCGCATCTATGCTCTGTGTCAGCAGCCACCCACACGAGGAAGCTGGGCAGCACGTGCCAAGGGATAGGCTGGACAGAGCTTCTCAGGGCCAGGGCTGCAAGGCAGCTGCAGCATGTAGTGGGCCAGGAGCCATCCCTCTTGCTAACCAGAGTACCAGCCACGTAGCTTGCTGAGTCCCCTGCTTCATGTTGACGCTCACTGGGTGCTTCCCAGAGAGCTGCAGAGTTCCTGTGCCCCCTAGACAGGTGCCCCCTAGACAGGTGCCAGCCTTACCACGAGAATCCACAGCCACGAGCAACAGGCTTTGGTGAATTCTGCCTACAGATCCTGTAACCACAGGACCACGGCTTGCTTTCCTGTCTTCTTCCTTTCCTGATCCTTTGTCCCACGAATGAGGGACCAAGGAATCGAAGGAAGAGGCCCAGGGCTGAGTGAATTTCTGTGCATCGTCATAAACAGAGAGCGTTCAGAATACATTCTAAACAGCTTGCAAATTAGGGCCCATTATTTCTGAGCGGATGACTCAGGCGTTTTATAACTGGGACGCAGTGCTGGGTGTGGGTTGTTCTCCCTCTGTTGTTTTTGCTCAGAAACAATTTTGCTACAAGCAAAAAGTTCTCAAAAGTTAAAAATTAAAAGGTTAGAAATCCAGCACTGCAGTGTCAAGCGAGGCTGGATCAGTTCCTGTGACGCCGGCTGTCCCGAGTTTGGAGCGAGACCCGTAGTGACGCCAAGCAGAACAGACAGCGGTCAGCATGACATCTGTCTCTCCGCTGTTGAAAAGCGAGAAACAAGAGGGACACACACACGCATGCACGCACACACACACACACACACACATGCACCCGCCCACACTCTGCTGGAAATTCAACCCTGGCCCTAAATACCTGTCAATTGTCTGAAAACAGATGCATAATTTACCTTTTAAAAAACATACTCGTCTGGAAACTTCCCCTGGGTAACTTGGCCACGCGTTTTACCCAGGGAATTTCCAGCGGGCCAGGGAGGCATGATGCTGCTGGCTGGCCCTGCCGTGCAGGACATGGGCCCCTCCCTTCTCTGCCCACAGCCACCTTCGTGGGGGACAATACAGCCACTCCCAGGCTCTCTCCTCTCCAGAACAAGCTGCTTGAGCCAAGACAGGCACTACCAGCCTGGCTCTCGGACTCCAAGGGCATTTTCAGGAAGGGACGGAGTGGCCACTGTCACGGTGGGGTGGGGTTCGGTGTTTCTGTTGTGCCGCAATGAACCCCGCCCCCATCTTGTGTTTTTTTGCAGGGCCGAGGCTGTTTTAGGGAACATCATAAAGAAGAAAGGATGGAGGTAATGGCCGTGCTCTCTGTGGCCAGTGTCCGGGGCGCAGACACAGGAAGAGCCTGGAGGAGGCCGATGGGCGGGATGAGGGCTCCATGACAGGCAGATGCGTTCTGGGGTGGGGTGGGCCGGCTGCCTGGGGCGAGCGTTGGCTGGGGTCCCCGTCGCTGTTTTTTCCTGTTTACCAGGGCAGTGCCCGGGTTGGCTTCATCAGCCCTGTGCAGCTAACCCATCTTTCTAAAGCCGGGAAGTCTCAGAATTTTTCTTGTTGGGAAGAGAAAGATATCCCAGAATGGAGGCAGCCCCTGCCTCCTGCAGGGGGAGTGAGGTTCACACTGGGCAGCCGCCCCCAAGGAGCCATTGGCTGCAGTGAGTTGGGCAGAGTCACCAAGTGGGGTGCCCACGTCAGCTCTCTAAGATAGGAGGCGTCTCTCCAAGAGTGGAGCCAAGCGGAGGCCCTGGCCCCCCAGCTCTGCCCCCTCCACCTCTGACCCCGCAGGGACACAGAGGGCCAGGGTCCCGGGTGCAAAGTTGACTTGGGTTGGGCCAAAAGAGCTGGAAGAGAGACCTTTCCTGGTGGCCCTGTTAGGGGACGTTAGGGGACGTGCTGGCAGCGGGGAGGGAGCAGATTCCGTCCGGGGCTGGAGTCCACCTGCTCCTGTCCCCAGCGCTTGGCGAGCATCTCACCTCCCTGGTGCTCATGGTCCCCACCTATAAAGGGACCACTGCCCGACCTCCCTGGGCTGACCTGAAGCTCCGACGGCCCGAGTCTGTAAGACGCCTGCCAGCCCAGGGCCGGACGTATCACAGTCGCCTGGGAAGTGGCAGCTCTTAAGACTGATCTTCACCTCAGGACCCCACCGTGTCCCTCTGGGCTGACCCCCAGGAAGCAGGCCAGGAGCCCAGTGCCCCCGTCAGGCAGAGTCCCACCCTCCTTGGACAGGCCAGGCTGAGAATAACCTGCACTTTGGGGCCTGCCGAGCCCCAGCGCCCAGCTCTGTCTGAAGTGGCAGACACACCCTGGGGCCCAAACATCTTTGTTTTCAGGAACATCAGAAGCAGTTACAACGCTGGGCCTCCCACTCCGGGCCCCTAGCAAGTGCCACTCAGAATCCCCAGCCCCCACGTGGGTGACTGACACCCCTCCTCCTGCCCCACCCAAGTTGTTTCTTCGTGGCTCTCATCAATCCCCAAATAAATTCTCCCTCGCCCCTAATTCAAGGGAGTTGCACATACCAGCAAGTCTTCTGATGACGTCTTGGGTGAATACACAGGGAGAATTATACAAGGTCACCCCTCCTGCCTGGAAGTGACACTGAGTGTCTGTGCTGGTGGCTTAGAGGAGCTGTTTCCTGAGCAGCCCTGGCGTGGGAAGTAGGGGTACAGGGGTCATTCTCAGCCCCTCCGTTGGGAAGGGTCATGGTCAAATGTGGCCAGGAAGAGCCATCATTATCCCCCCACCATCCCTCCAGGACGGAGTCATGGGGTCCGTGGCCCCCAGCCCTAACTTGACCTTCTCAAGTCTCTACCCCCACTGTTTCCTCAACCTGCTTTCTGTTCCCTGAGCCGTGACCCCCCATCACCCCCGAGGCCCCCTCTACCTCATGCCGAATGCGCTTCCTCCTCAGGCTCGTCTGTCGGTCCCCACTGCCTGTCTTAGTTACACAGCTGCTTAGTTGCGTCCGCGGGGTTAGTTAGTTGCGTCCGTGAGTCATCTCCTGACCCCATGGGGAGCCCCAGAAACTGGGCTGAGCACATTGAATGATAGGCAGGCCCGCCCCCCCCC